CATGTAATTTGTGAGACCGTTATCCACCTCTGGAAATGGATGAAGAGTTGCGCAAGATCATGAATTGTTTGAAGTTGGAAATTAACATCGTTTTATGTCTCTCAGCAGTCTCGAGGTTGAGTGTTCGCGCCAGAGACTAAAGGTCCTGTATTCGAGTCCTGAGTGCGGGATCGTGAATGTGCACTGTTGTGTAGCCCGACACTAGAACAAAACGACCGCCCGGTGCATCCAGGTTTTCACTGGTGCTCCAGTTCATATCGACTCGTGATTTAAACTATGAAAATAGTTAAACATGCTGAATTAAATCATTTCAATGTTTAGAACTTTATGACAAGTTACTAAGAAAAAACATCAGCGTTTCTCATCAGGTTCCTTTCCATAGTGTTAGGTTCAATATTTATACCAGTTCACAGAAGCCACAACCTTTGAGTTTTACTTGTCTCAACCGTATTCTAATTTAGTACTAATAAGTTGCGTGAATTAGGGATAAATTCCCTAACTAAAATACAATCATTTGAAGAGCTGTTTAAAGCAGTGAGCATAAGCAGTTGTTTTACCTTAGTTTTAAACTATTTAGTAGTGTGAAATTATGATCACATACAGGATCAATTTGAACACCTGTATTGAATAACACATGTGGTAATTTCTACGAAAACTCTTGGGGTTTCTGAACATGAACATTGTTATTAAAATGCCACCACTTAAATATCGAGAAAATGGTATTAGGCAATTTAGTTATCTTGTAACATATGAAATAAAGCTTATTCAGAGCCACACGTTCAGAAAACATTGAGAGAGATATTAGTCTTCAAGTTAACAAGATGTCAGCTGTTATCCCTGAAAGATATTATCATACTTTCAGAAACTCATGTCTTTGCAGTGATCACTTATATATATTTCTGATTTACGTTGCCTTAGTTTTCATTAATAATCATCTTAGATCCCGTTATCTTGTTAACGTTTAACTTCATCATAGACCTACTGATGGAAATAACATTCTTGTCTACTGAATTCTTGGGTATTGATCTCGTTCCAGGAGGTCGAATTATCAACTTAGAATACGCAGATGATATAGTCCTTTTTGGTGAGGACGCTGATAGAATGCAGAGTCTTTTGGTAGCACTAAGCATCAATGTCAGAATGTTTGGAATGCGCTTCTCTCCCTCTAAATGCAAGCTGCTGCTTCAGGACTGATTTGCGTCAACACCTGAACTAAGGATAGGGAGTGAAGTAGTCGAACGCGTTGACAACTTCACTTATCTTGAAAGTCTAATCAGCCCTAATGGGTTGGTGTCTGACGAAATCATAGCACGGATTCGAAAAGCTCGTTTGGCTTTTGCCAACTTGCGTCACCTATGGCGAAGACGAGATATCCGTCTATCAATAAAAGGACGAGTATACTGCGCGGCAGTCCGTTCTGTTTTAATTTACGGCTGTGAAACATGGCCCTTAAGAGTAGAAGACACTCGTAAGCTACTAGTATTTGACCACAGATGCCTTAGAAATATTTCTGGGATCACTGAATAGGTAATAGTGAGGTTTGACACAGGATATTAGGGAATGATGGTAAATCAGTTGATAAGGTTGTGAATCTTCATCGACTGAGATGGTTGGGCCACGTGTTACATACACTCGAACACCGATTACCACGACGTGCAATGCTAACCGGTGTTGGTGATGGTTGGAAGAAAGTTAGGGGCGGCCAAACCAAACTGTGGCATCAATGCTTGAAGTCACTAACTTCTAGTCTGAGCCATGTTAGTAGATGCAGACTACTTGGTTGGGGTCCGCGTGACTATCGTAACCAATGGTTGAAGAATCTGTTGCATGGCTCAGATTCCATCACAATGGCGTCGGTGTATACACTCTCTATCTTCCCATAGACTAAGAGATTAAAATCGCTTCATATCTTTCTTTCTATGAATTAATTCATTCTTCCTGTATTATATCCTTATATGCAATCTTTCTTTTATATATTACCACCTCTGAATTAACTACTTTTATGAATGCGGTGTCCATCTTGTTGTGTTAATGAGGTATGGCAACTTGGACCGATGCATAAATGTGCCTGGTCCTACGTTGTAGCTGACTGACTGACTGTCTTGTTTACGAGGTCCCATTTATGAATTAATAGCCTGAGAATGTCATTTACTGTGCTATGGTTTTTCAAGTTTGTTGCCAGACTAAACATAGCGAATCAAAACAAACTCCAATTTGGTTTTGGATAAATACCTTACCAATAAGTTATACGAAAGTTAGTCAGCAAGATCCGCCACTCCTGTTTTCCTGTAGTTATTTTTATCTTTGCCCTTTAATCATTTATGGAAACTTTGCATGGTAGTTAACATTGACTTACTTTCTCCTTTATAAAACTTCTAACAGTATTTTCATGTATTTTATCTATTGGACTAGGTATAGGATTCGTGTTTTATGACAAGCAGTGGTAATAAATTCAATGTCATACTACCACAGCTATTCCAGTTATATTCTGTTTATTGTCGATCATAAGAAATAACTTATTGTCACATACAGCAAACTAGCTGCGAAAAATTCTGATCATCATGTCATCAATATTCAAGAGGTGTTATATATTGTTCCAATTAAAAGCATGTGTTCTAGGAATTCTATATTGTACCTAACATATAATACTGAATAAAGCCATTAACAATAATAATAATAATAACTATGCCTATTTTTGATCTTCTGGTAACTAATTCATCATTGGATCAATGATTTCTTCAGCTTTAGTCACTAATTTTACGAGGTATTGATATCTGGTCGCTTATGAAAAACAGCTTCATACAATACTTCAACGCCACTCAACCAAATGAAAAATCTTTTGGAATATTACTTAGTTGGTCACAGCTCTGTAATAACTGTAAGGTTGCACGTTATTCATAAAAGTGCAGTACTCCGAGTTGGTGATGGCAACTAGCCATCGACTAGGTTCATTAAAGGAATGCGCTAAATAAGTGTTGAATCATTGATTTTTATTTATTCATGTACTCAAACTCATACTCAAAGTTCAGAATTAAATATTTTTAATCTCAGTTGCATTGGTTGCACCAAAGCTCATAAATAAGCTATAAATTAAGGTGAGTCCAACACTTTTGGTCGCTAGTTAATTAAAGCACTTCTAAAATTTTCATAAAATTCCAATTCGGTTCACCAATCTCAGACGGGTTTAGAAAGATTTAATAATGATACCAAATGAGCTGATAAGTACTATTTATTTTAAACAAGATGTAGTCTGATATTTATATATTCATATCAAAGACTCAGTGGTATTTATAAACAGGTTTTAAATTTATTGCCAATAATGTCTAGAGTTATGTAATATGGTGAAATATAAGCTTTCATTAAAGGTAGTCATAAGTCAAGTTTACATTACATCTAGATAATGAATTGCCATTATGCATGTAAAGTATTTTTAATCTTCTTTCATTACCAATCAGATATAAGTTATATCTGTTCTATTTTGTCCGATAATAAAATATGTGAAAGACATTAGTTGAAAAAGTTTAAACCATGTTCCATATCAATGACACATATTTCCTTCATTTCTATATTTAGGCAATAGATATTAGGTTACCAAAACCGAAGGACTTGTCGATTCTCGATTTTCATGAGTTCCAAAAATTGTTTTGTATCACTAAGTAACCAAACGGTAACACAGATAAACTTGAATGTTATTATCAGCTGTATTAAATAAAGTGAAGATAGTCATAGTGTAATCACAGAAACAGTTATTTCGTTAATGTATATTTTCCTTCGAAAACGATTACTGATAGGAAAGTTTATACTTCCCAGCTGTCATTTAGAGTGATTATATGTTGACGTTGAAAAGATTTTGAAGGAAATTGAAAAAAGGACCTAATTATTATAAAAAGATAAGTGTTAAACAGGAATCCTGATGAAATTATTGTACTAAATCATTGCACACATACAAGTTATTTTTCCTCCACATAAATTTACTTGGACTATTTTTCTGTATGTTTCATCATCACTTTCTGTAACTATTTCATCGAAATATATTTGGTATTTATTTATGAAACAACTATCTAACAGTCAACTATCATATGATTTTATACGTGTATAATCGTTTAAATCATTAGGCGGTGTTTTTCTTTCTCTCAATCATTCCCATATGAACACGTAACTTATATTAATGAATACATACATATTATTTATGAATCTTTTTTTAGATCAAATTAAATCTTCAATTTTGGTGGTTTATAAAATGCATGTTTGAATAAATTGGCAAACGTATTAAAAACTTTTTTCTATACTTTATCAAAAGTAAAGTCTGATATAAGTAGGTTGTACATTCAGTTTACAAGATGTAATCTGGGCTGTTTTATCGATTATAGACGTTGTGTTTTAACAGTGGATTTCATATAATGTAGCGTTATCAGTATAGGGTTGTGGAGATTGCTGATTTTTTATTAAATTCATGAATTGATCAATGTTAGACCACTATTGAAAATCTGGAAGCACTGAACAGCCGTTTTATCCCACAGTGTGTGTTCAAATTTCTTACTTTAAATGCTATTTTACAATTGAACATTTAATGAACAAAATAAATATCAACTTTAGATACTAAAGGTTATCTTATTTTCTAGTTTTATTTAATTTACCCAGGCTAATGCTTTTTTTAATGGAATCGCCAATGAGCATCAGATTTTATCTTTTTCCATTAAAGTCATCGAAGCCAATAATAAACTTGTGATCAACTCAATGAAATTAACAAAACTCATCATTCACAAGTGTATTATCCAAAGTTCTAAAGTTTTTACACGGACAATATTATATTAAACGATATGAAAACGTTCAGTATGCATTCATAGCAATGATTACTTGAAATAAAACCACGTTACATTTACATCACAAAGATAATTGATACTTGTACTTTGAACAGAATTATACTTCGTGAATATAACTGGTAAAATGAAAAAAATCTTTACGTAGATATTTGTTTTTGCTTTTTGTTTGGCCTGTAGATCAATAATCATCAAAGCGATTCTGGTGCTGAACTAGTGAATAGTATGAGTAATTCATTTATTGATAATTCAATATCGGATATTCATCAAACAAATTCACAAACACCTTCACATAAGTCTTCTACAACATCAAATCATAAATTTGGTACTAATATTAGCACTAACAGTATCAATAATAACAGTATAACAGTAGATATTAACAGAAGTTATAATTATGATCAGCATCATGATAATAAAATTAATCAGAATACTGATAATTTGAACATTACTGCACGATTACAAAGGCATAATGCTAAACGTGTAATATCACCGAAATACGATCAGATCAACAATGTTTCATCTACAGAACAAGGTCCAACTCAACTATTAAATTCAATGCTTAATGATTTGTCGTCTGAACTATCTCAGCATGGTGCAAAAACTAATCCTCGTGGACAGTGTTATGCTTGTAAAAAGCCTATAAATGGAACGGTAAATTTAAATTCAATTACATATAGTCTACTGATTACATTGATTCTAATAATATTTCATTCTTTTATTCATAAAATACAGTATGTATTTTTTTTCCAATTTCGGTTAAACAGTCTGTATTTAAATCACTAACTGAAATACTTTCTGTGTGTCAAACAATGGACTACTTCACTTTATGATACTTTAAATCAATAACATGTTTTTAAAGCATTAAATGTTTTTTTAGAATAATAACAATAATAGTAAGTCCACTGGGTACAATTATGGCAAATATATTTATGGGTTATTTTGAAAACACAGAGAATAACGAAACAACGGAATACTCCAGACATGTTGATTATACGTCTATTGTGTGCAATAGTAAACAATATTCAATTCGCCTGTAAGAACTCTTTAACAATGCTCATTCTAACAATTTACTATAGAGCACGAAAAGATTGTGACATATTCAACTTTCTTGTCTTTGCTATACGATTAGAGGAAAACAGAATAGTTCAACGTCAAGTTTATTGAAAAAGTTCTTGAAATGGTCTTTACCTGAATTTCAATAGCTTTTTTCCAGTCATTTATAAAGAAGCGTTGGTCGAAACACTATTTTACAGAGTAGAGAGGATGTGTACCACCGGCGAACTGTAAAAAGAATTGATGAACGTGGAAAATGTCTGGGGGATATCTGCTACCCACAGAAAGTTTTCGAAAAATCTAAAACAATCTAAAAAACAAGATGGGTGTGACTGTAGTCAAGAAAAAACCAGTATATATAAATCATAGCTTTAAAGGTGGTGTTATAGTAAGGGCAATCATCAGTAGGCTTAAAACTGCATTGGCCAGAATGTACTAGTCAGCAAAGCTAATAATGCTGTATAAAACAACATGTTCACTAAAGCAGTCAAACGTCGACAAACACTTTTCATGTCATCGCCAACTGTGTTTATAAAGTTACGTGTACTTGCTAAAGCATCTAAACTGACAGAACAGAAAGAAGGGTATATATTGGAATTTTTAAAATGTTCTGAAAAGTGTTCAGACTAGAAAGAAAACTACATTAAACGGCGCAGTTACCGAACATCTCTTGGATACAGGATATCAGGTGGTTGATAAATAGCCAAACTCCAGTCTTCTAAAGTTCACTGAAGACGTTGCTATCACTCGTGAAAAACCTTATATGACGTGTTAAAATGGAGAATGTTGTTTATCTTTTTTCTGCATTGGTGACAAATATTTCTCCATTATATCGTAAAAAATTTTGTTCAATTTTTTCCTCTAACGGATTACATGATTGCATCTTTTTTATTTTGACTGTTTCCGAGATTAGTGACTTTATTTTATCAGAAAGGGGTTTTATGGAGATTTTAGTAATTTAATAGTTAAATTCGTGAGTCGATTAAAGTTAAACCACCATGGAAAACCTGGAAGCACTAGACATTAACACCGTTGGATGTTGATTCATTTGTCTAGAGTTTTGGCGCTCATATGCGAGGCCGGAGGTCCTGGGTTCGAATCCTGCGAGCGGCATCGTGAATGCCCACTGCTGAAAAGTCCTATATTAGGACGAAATGACCACCCAGTGCTTCCAGTTTTTCCATGGTGGTCTAGCTTTTATTGACTCATGAATTCAACTATTAAGTCTTATTTTAATTAATCGAGCTTTACTCATTTTATTCTCACGTAGTATAATGTCTACTCATTGAGTAACCACTTATTTCTAACCCTTTGAACATTAGTTACTATCAGCTGTGTGGAATATTCTTTTACGTAAGGTATATATCTACAATATTCTATTCAGTCTGTTAAATTTATTTACACCCTTTCTATGCTTTACTGATGTGGAATCTTTGTAACTTCCACTTAAACTCTTTCATGTAAGTAATTTAAACTCATTTTGTAATTATAATTTTTATATGTCACAGGTTTTAAGCAGCTGACAAGAACCAAACGTAATAATATGAACTCATGATATTCTGTTCAAACGATTGCTCTAGCTCTCTTCAATAATGATAATAGTAATAACGTTAACGATAATAAAATCTATACAATAGGTATGGAGACCTAACTGAAAATATCGTTAAAAATGCTAATACAGTTAACTGTACTTTATTTCACTTATTTACCCTAACAATTTTTATCGTTATTTTTTGACCGTTTGAGGCCCTACCATCCTAACCATTTAAGTTTTTTATTATATTTCTTATTTTTTCATTACTGATATGAACTGTTATTGTCAACCTTATTAAGATCATTTTATAAGTGATTATTTATTATTTTACCCATTTTAATGATAACAATTTACGAGTTCATTACATCAGAAGCCCAATAATCTATTGTTATCTGATATAACTTAAACATTTATAAGAGGTGTAAAATAATTTATCAAGATATTTTTTATTAGGTAACTCAATTACTCTATCAATGTTTCTTTTTACAACATTAAAGTCTTAGAAATTTATCATGCAAGAAATTAGGTACTTTTATAGAAGATTTAAAATAGACAATTCGATTCGCTTACATATATAGATAAAATCTATTCCGATGTCTTGTATTTGTTTTTACTATTCCAATATATTTAACAGTTAATAACAGCTATTGGTAAAGAATGGCATCCGGAACATTTCACTTGTGCTAGTTGTCGTGTTGGCTTAGTTCGTCAAGATTTCTATGAACGTGATGATCAAGCTTATTGTACTCAATGTCATCTACAAATGTTCTCACCTAGATGTGGATATTGTGGAGAGGCAGTTGTCGAGGTTTGTTAATTTAATATTAAACATTGTTGTTTTTACTTTTCTTTAAACGAGAGTATAGAAATTCAAAATAGTTTCAAATAAGTTTATTTGGTTAATTAAGCCACTATGAAGACATTCACCATAGCTATTCTTTTTTCTAAATAACAAATATCACTATTCAATAAATTATCCTATATTGTTATTTGTTCATCCATTCAATCCCAAAGTCTACAAATGTTTTGTTTATTTGTTAAATCTTTTGAATTTGTTCATGTTGGAAAGATATTCCGTTTAATTATTTACAATGTTGATATGATTACGCCATATATTCCATGTACCTAGCTGCCAATTTCTTTACTATAAGATATATCCTAGAATAAGAATTGCTTGAAAGAAAATATGGAACCTTAGATGATTAAGCGGAAAAAGCTTTTGACTAAGATTCTATATAAATTTGAAATCACCAGGAAAAATGTCTGAATTTTGAAGAAACTTTTACTCTTTTAAAGAGTCGAATTAATATGGCTCAATGTTTCAGACCGCGCAAAACATTTTCACTCTATTAATTATAACCATTTAAAATGTGGGCTACAATTTCAATTCACTTGATCCACTAATTGCATTATGATGTAATTGTTAAAATTCACTTAATGCTAATTACTTGATAATTTGACTTAGGTTAAAACTCAATGATCAAACGATGTAAGGCTTAAGATGTCAAAAATAATGTTGTCAATCTAAGTTGTAAGAAAAAAGATCCAATAGATAGAGGATCAATAACTTGTACTTACAACTAATTACAATGTTATATAGTGTTGAGACTGGTGACTAGATTTTTTGTTATTAAATTGCCTTCCAATGATTTATTTCACTTGCTTTCTAGAAAATATTGATTTTCTGAAGAAATTAATGACATTGCTATAAAAATTGTAATATTTTTAATGACTTTATCATAACTGAAATGTTCAGTATTATTAGTGTAGATAAATGTACACTATAATAAACCCTTTTGTCTGTTTTCTATTTATTTTGTGTCTCTATTCATCAAATGTATATGTCATATAATGGTCTTTTTTTTCAAAATATTTGGGATCATATAACAAGTATTGGGTTAGATCTATTTAATTCAGATTTTTAGTTAAACTCGGTTAAACTTCTGGTTTCATGCATACAGAAATAATCAAATTATACCTTGGACACAATTTTAAACTACCCCAGATATGTCTAACAACATACATACACTAACACATCTGTACACCGATACAAATATTACATAGACAACTAGCTTGTATTTCAACCTGTATATAATAAATAGTAACCCTATGACTAATGATGAATCATTGCAACCGAAGTACTTACACAACATAAACGTCCACATCTATATATGTATATGCAAGCACAGACATTCGTTGCTATATTTTTTAAAAAATATTATGAGGATCACATCCTTGCATGTCTGTTTTTATCGAAAATTCTACTATTTTTTTTTCCATTAAATCGTTAATCATCAGTGGAAAAAATTGATTATTAAGTCCTTTTTTATCTTCATTTTTTCACTTCATAGCCTACATTGATAAAAACAATAAAAACAAAATCTGTTGATTTGTTTAGTTCGTTTGTTTTGAAGTTATGACGTAGGTGATTCATTGTATGTCAACATCTTCATACCCTTATGTTTATTGCAATCGGATTGAGTTATTCGCATAGTGAACGTTTTGTGCTTTACAGGAGAATGAAAGTTATAATCAATTGAATTAATTTGTGTGGACTTAGAAGTATGGATGATTGGATATTGAATAGATAATCTAAAGTTGACTCTACCTATCAGACCTGAAGGTCCTGAATTCGATCCATAATATGTCATTACATGTAACTGAGGGAACAAAACAATTGCCTAGAGCTCTTTAGTTTTCAAGGTTTCACTAGATGAAGTTAGTCTATGATGCAAACTATTTCGAAGTTTGATTTGGTTAACTTTTAATTAGGTTTGAATGATTCGAATGCAGCAGTGTAATACTTTGGTCTATGAATGATTGAATACAAGTTTGACCTTTTTTCCTTCTAGTCCCTTCAAAACACACTGAATGACTTGACTGTTTTTCTTCTTCCATGTAAAAATAAAAATCACATGATGTCGTTGTTGTAAATGAAGCGTACTAATTGACTAATTGTTAACTATTATAATGTTATAATAAATAGTTTACTAAGATTTACTAAATATTCAGTACAGTATTGATCAGAGTTGTATCTGTCGTTTACAATGATACTAAAATACTCCGTTTTCATTTTGTCTACAACTGACTTAAATAGATAAGATCCAACCGAAAATGACCCTTAACTAAATAAAAACTTCAATATAAAGTTAATTTCAACACGTAATGAAATTGCTGATAAATCAATTAAAAATTACATCCATGGCAATTAGATTTGATATTTCAGAAAAAACTAATTACTGGATTCTCGCATAAATGTTAAATATTGAACAAAATACTTAACACTGTAACAATTATCTACTTTTATTTGGTATTCACCTAAACCAAAAGGAGTTTTATTGGGTTATTACTTAAAATGTGATGTAACATACTTCTAACCGTTTCAATCAGTCACTATTAATCATCTCAACGCCTGGGACAAATATGTTTTAGCTCAATATCCCACACCACATCAACACTACAAAATAAAATAAATCAGATCAATATCAAAAGGAATAATGTTGGAACAATGACAATCAGAAATTAAACTTTGGTAAAATGTTTTCATAAGACGGGATGAAAATATATATATGAAGGAGTATTTGAACTCACCATCTTGAATAAAATAAAGAGTGAGGCGAAACTATAATTTATAGATGACTTATCAACGGATGACGAGTGACCTTGTGAAATTTCAGCCAATCAGAAGACAGCTGGTATAGAGCAAGAATATATTCTACAAAACTAGAGAATTAGAGTGTATACACTTCTTTGGCGTCGTTTAAACACTTTCCAAGGTTAAAAAGAGGCCCTGAAGTTCTGAAATCGTAATGCATACAGTACCGGGGCTCATTCATGTGACACCATGATCGTCGACCTCTGGAGCTATGACAAGGTCACAAAAATTCTTTTGGCCTCGACCACACTGCTTCTGCATTATTTGTGTGTATTCTCGCGGTTGCGTCTACAAAATGTCACTTGTGAACGGCGATACGATACACGTAACCAAGTCTAGGTCACCCGTGTATATTGTGGTATCCAGCTGCATATACTCTCGTATAATTGGTATTATCGTTGTAGCTTGTCGGTTTCTCACGCACTGGAAGTGATCGTTTAAAGACAGTCTATCATACATACCGAAGACGTTCTCAGTATACTTAAGGAAATGCTACATACCCAGTTTTATTTAACACTTTTTATATGAAATCTGCGTTTTCTAGTGAACCTTTCGTCTATTTCTACGATCCTCCTGATTCAAGGATTTTCTCGATTTTCTTGACAGTACTCATACTACTGAAGTGTCAAAGCTTCAGTAACATCTGCAAAGGTTGCAGCCAGTGTTAATGGTGCATTTATTATCCAGTTTAGAAAAAATTATCATAACCTGCCTTAATGTCAATCGATATGGAGTGAAAAAAGTACCCGTTTTAGTAACATATATTACATCGAAAAACAACATCGTCACGTTAGTCTGTACAATGTCCATCAGTCATTTGAACATTGCAATCACAAATAAATGAGCTTCCCAGCAATCCCACCAGTTGTAGTCGCTCAAATATAACGATCTCCTTGATATCAGCTGTAAACCGATCATGAATGAGCATTGTATATTGAAATAGGCTCCGTGACCTTTAAATCACTCAATCATTTCTGATTGGCTTGTTCATAAATTATAGTCTCACCAAAATTGAATTCGTATGCGTCACAGTGACCGATACTAACCCATTCTATTTAATATCTTCAATCACAAAGTATTATTTTTCAAGAAATTGCAATTTATATATTTATATTTTTTTATATTATATTATTATTAGCTTTATTCAATATTATAATTTTGGTACAATATAGAATTCTCAGCTCAAAGTATTTCAACAAGTTTCCGTTTCTTTCTTCTTGGTCGGTCCTGGCGATAAATATTGAGAAAACGCCAGTTAGATGTTAGCACTTCAGTGAATGAACAACTGAATAATGTGCATTCTTTTCGTTGTACATTGCCAGCAACCATATTGTCTCTTATTGAGTTTTCTGTAACTTTGACAACGAAAGGTTGTACACTTTTCAGAAACGCAGCAGAATAGGTTATGCGATTAATAAACATAATGATATATTAAAACAAACAACGATAGATAACTTGTTGAAATATCTAGATGGCAGGAACAGGTAGCCCAGATGCTCAAGCAGGCCGCCCTAATTCACATCAAAATATAATTGATGAAACACATTATAAAATGTTCTAGTTTACATAAGTTGGCTTATTACTCTTTCTTAGTGATTAATTAAATTGCTTACAATTTCTTAGTTTATCATATGATTCGTGATTTATTTTTAAAATACCTTTTAACTTATTTAAACAATCTATTTTTTATTTAGATAATATAACAAAACAAATATCTGGTCATGTATCTTTCATGTATTTTATTTCCCATAACAAGTATAACAATTAACTTCAAATTATCAGTAACTTATTTAATATTTCATGAATCTTATGATTACTATAATCATATTTATGTTTTATATGGACTATTTTTTTAAAAATAAAAAGCTGTTTAACCTTTGACATTTAAGTTAACTAGACAACTGATTCCTACTAGATCCCATGTTAAACATTTATTAGCTACGGTTAACCTCTCTATCTTATCATAAGGTTACATACTTTTTTTCCCTATATCCATTCGTCTCGTGATTAGCTTTCATGAAGAGTATTGCAGAAATTTGCCTGCATAAGTTTATTAGAAAAGTATGTAGTAGATACATTTTATGAATTAGCAGTCAATGATTGATTAAGATATAAATAAATTTACTTTAGCATTGGTATATATATATATATATATATATATATATATATATATATATATATCATAACGCATGTTTCTTGGCCATGTATACTGCTAAATGTTGCTAAACATCATTTAAACTTTTTAAATTGAGTGTGTCAATATTGTGTAATTCAATCATGTGCGTACTTGTGTATACAATGAATTTTTGTGTTCAATTTCTTTGTTCATATCTGCAATTCTATTTAAGCATGTTACAGGAATTGCAAAAAAACTGAGAGTGCAAGACGAAAATTTCATTCAAACATAAACGTTTTGAACATTTTATTGATAACTATGCATTGTTGTATTGCCAGCTAATAAAGTATACTGATTGACTAAATGACGTGTTCTCCGTGATAGATGTAGGCTTAGAGTTTACAAGTTAACATAGTTAAGCATATTTTTCTTGAAAATCTTCTTGGACAAAGATATAACTACTGTCCAGTACTCTTTGATTGTATGAGGTTGTACTTCAATGGTCTGGACAGTAAGTTGTCGACTGTCATATCATGGATTTGAATCCACTTGTCTTGCATGAGGTGTAAGTCATAATCTAATGGTCCTATTTGCATTGAATTACAAGCCTTATTTTTCCATATGATATTGGTAATATCTATGTCATAGTGGGAAACATATATCATTTAGGACTTTCATATGGTGAATGCTTTGATGTTGATGATCATTAAGATACTGGGTTCTGACACAGTTGATCGACAATAAAACTACCCCAATTATATCCGAAGATTTGAATTGAAAGTTTTGAAAGAAGTAAGGCTTTCTATCGATTCCATGCTTCCGTATGAGAGACATAGTGCATTTTCATCTTACATCTATCTTTAGTTGGCTTTTGGTTCCTGAAGCATATGACAGTGACCATCCTTATTTTTTAACTGAAAGAGGTGTATATATCACCAGTCACACTTTATGAGGATCAAGTGAAACAAACAAGGACCAATATAAGTCTAGTTTTCCATGACACAGGAATTATAGCTTGAATACGTGAACATGGTTTATTCACATATAACTATCTCAAGTATCTTTCTGAATATTTTAGATTATCATCTATAAAATCCTCAAAATACCGACTACTTACCGTTCCCAAAATAACGTGAAATATATCCGCTTGGTCTATACTATTGTTTGAATAGCAGCTAGTATCTTACAACTGATGGAATAATAATTTATTAAATTACTTGCTAAATTTTGGTTTATTTACACTGTATATTTCAACACAATTACAAAACATTTTAAAATTACATTATACTACTTGTATTTTATAAAATAGGATAAGATGTCTAAAGTACATTTCTCGATAGATCTCGGCAGATTTCCGACTTTCTTAATCCAACTTTCCCTACTTTCGTTCTTATTTATGTGTAAAATATAGAAATTACACAATTGTGAGATAACCTTCAGCATTCTTCAATTATGAATAAATATTGTTTTTTGAGCTCGGTGATCTACTTATATATTAATTTGAAACTGAAGAATTATTAGATTTGAAGCCACTTCCACCTGCTTGTGTTTGTGCAACTTGATAGTGTTGTCCTCCATCACATCGGAACTACTCTAAAAACCCTTCATATGAACTCGGTACTGTATACTGGATTTTTTTCCATATTATATCTACTATCTATCCGAATCTTGAGAATGATATTGTGTTCATACTTTAATCACTTTTGGACTAGGGTATTTTGTGCTCTGTTATCCTTCCACCTACTAAGATATTTATCACCATTGTTCATTTTTAAATTTTATCTATTATTTAATTGATAATTTGAAAAACTTTATTCATCTCAATATATTCAAATGATATTTGGCAAAATGAGTTAGAAGTAATCATGGAAACGGGTAAAGAAATAGGAAATGTTTACTAAAATCACTATTTCTTAATTTATTTTTTAAGCTTCGTATTTAACTTAAAACGACTTATGACAAAAAATTTTTTTCCTATGAATATATCTCTTAAGTTTTTATAAAACTATTTCAACTGTTTTAGAAATGTGTTTTGGCTTTGGCACGTGCATGGCATCCTGAGCACTTTTTTTGCTACGAATGTCATTCCACTTTTAATGGATCGTTAACAGTACATGAACAAAATGGCAAATTTTACTGCTCGTAAGTTTCGTAATGTTAAACAGTGATTATCAAGAACAAAGGAAGAAGAACTTAGTTAGTTGCCTAGTGAAACTGATTATGTAAGGATAAGAATAAAAATAAGTAATTTATGTGCATATTAATATGGTTAACTTGGTTGAGGATATACGTGATTTAAAGAAAAAAGCTGTGAAAACGTTTTATGGGCTCATGAATTGAATTCATGTATATAGTTTTATACAAATTACTACCAAGCAACCACTCCATCTGTGTTAGAATTAACAAATGCAAAGAATCATTCATTACTTCAAAGCCTACATTTTTATCAATGTTCAATCAGTTGTTATATCAGAAGTCAGATTATCTTAGTTGGATTTTTTTATTCATAAATCATGATTTCGATTGCCTTATAGATATTTTGTTTGTTGACCAGAAGCTTTGTCTTTTAAATTATCTATGGTTGCAATTTGCTTATCAATTTCACAAACAAATTACCTTAGTTATTCCGACGATTGTATGAATTAATTTTATCATTGTAATAACTTGGAGCTAACCACCGGAGTTAGGCTTACTGTCAGCGAGAGAGAAAAAAGATGAAGACGATTCGCAATGTAGACATTTTTCATAACTTATCTCAACTTAAAGAGTTTATTGAACTGACTAATAGAACATTTCTCTTATTGCTAATATTAAATTCATAATCAAATAAACAAACAAGTGATTTGATTTTTAAATAAACTGTCAGTTTAATGTAATCTATGTTTATTTGCTTATGATTTATAATGATAAATTTTATTAGTTTGATTTTATAGATCAAAATCATCATAAATTATAATCTACATTTAAGGCAGGTAGTTTTCAACAAAATTCACTTATTTCATAACTCATAAGGATTTGTTCAGTTACAATTTCCAATCTTCATTAACTATAAGACTTTACATTTGGTGGCTTACTTTCCGTTATCAAGTAACTAAACTTAATGTTATTTTAAACTATTTCCTTTAAATTGTAAAACTTATAAATTAATTCTTTCTATATGAAGTAACTGCTATTTCACACGATTTGGAACTCCATGCTCTGGCTGTCAACAACCTATTACAGATGCATACATAACTGCATTGGATATGCCTTGGCACAAAGATTGTTTTACTTGTCGTGTAAGTCATTTCATTCAATCAATTTTGATTGCACCGCTACTTCTAACAACTTTCTTCTAAATTCTTTTGCTTAAAAATCCTCATCGTGTTGAAAGTATAGATATGTGAATCAAGAATTTTTTCCAGTAAATTCTTTTCAGTTTTGACAATTATAAATCCAAATTAATTGTTGGACGAGATGTCTAACATTAAAGCATTCTTGAATATAGTAGTGTATAAATTCAGGATCATTCGTAAAACGAAGTATAATCGTTAAGGTTATTTATATTCACATATCTCTGACCAAACATTTAGTTCCATTTGTAATTGAATTATTATTTCTCTCACCATGTGCTGTCTACATTTATTTGTAATATTATTTTTACAATCCTATGTAAAGTATAAACCAATTCAAGTTAATACCGCTTACTAGTTATTTTAACGTTATTATATTTTACAAACAATCACTTGGTTTGTAGCGTAAGCGAGATATTCGTCCGACGAATTTTCTGTGCAACTGTTTGCTTCGTTCTTTTTTGCGGGTGTAAGCATAGCCATTAAGGACAGAGGATATCTATAGATTCCTCCTCGACCACAGGTGTCTTCGAAACGTCACTCCTGTATTTTTGGACCACCGAGTAAGCAACATCTGAGTCTGAAATACGGTATTAGGTAAATATTACAAATCATTTGATGAAGTAGTAGATCTTCATCAATTGAGGCGGTGGGGTCATGTGTTACGTAAACCTAACCTCCTCCTCCCTTGAAGAGTGATGCTTTCTCGAATAAAAATAGGCTGGAAGAACGCTGATACAGGTTAGATTAAAATGCGGCATTAGTCCATGAAGTCATTGACAATTGGACTGAGTCATGTAGGTAGGTATAGAATACCTGGTCATGACAGCGTGATTATCGTAACTAGTAGTTAGAGACTTTGAATGACGTTGGCAAAATCGTTTGCAGGGGTACGGGTGAATTTGCTCTTTGTTTTCCCCTAAATTTCAGATTTTTAAATTCCTCACACTCTTTATTTCACTAACTTATATTTCCTTCGTCTTTTTGTAGAGCACATGTTTCCAAATTTCTCAAGCACTTCTCACTAATTATGTTATATTTTCTTGAATCGTATCCTCGATGCCCAATCTTGTTTATTACCATTGATATTATTGCTATCTCAACTACCCTGAGGTTTGACCTAAAATCTTCGTTTTGTTGTACCACTGCGGTTCGGCGAATCGAACCGATGTACATAATTACCGCGTTCAACGTTTAATCGGACAGAATGACTGACTTGCAATCGTAAATTCACATACTATAACTTCAAAACATGCATTTGTTTCAAACTTGTCATTCTTTTAGACCAATAATTTGAATTTGTAATTGTGGTTTTTGATAAAAACCTATTGAAAATGATATGTTCCGTTCATATATCTGTACCTTTTTGTGAAGGAATATAGTTTAGAAATATGTTACATTTGATCAATGAGTAGTATTTGACTAATGTGGTACAATCGAAAAATGATTTTTTTTGAAAAAGTGACAATTCCAAAGATTTTATAGTGTACATCAATTTTTAGCTATTATAAATATTTTAGAGATTTCATTTTACTTTGAGAATATAAGTGGACGACGCACGCTTCAGTAGAAAATTTGAACTGTGCACAATCCACTGTAGGAAGGAAATTAATTAACCACTCGTATTATTAGTAAACCAAATCTTTTGAAGTCACTCACAGTTTGATGATCAAACAATATGCTTTATTTATATTTCCTGTCTTATCTAGTTCAACTTTATCTTTCCAATCCCTTCCATCATTTTCCTCTTTTTATACAGGATTGTAATAGAATACTCACTGGATCAAGTTTTCATGAAATTGAAGGATATCCTTACTGTGATTCTCACTATTACTCAAGACGTGGCTTATTATGCTCTGCATGTTCATTACCAATTACTGGAAGGTGTGTAAACGCACTTGGTAAACGTTATCATCCAGAGCACTTTTTATGTGCTTATTGTTTACATCCATTACAAACCGGTACATTTAAAGAACATTCAAGTAAACCATACTGTCATCAGTGCTTTACCCAACTGTTTGGTTAGTACGGTGCACAAATATCTACATTTATATATGCATACATATTACTGTTTTTTTCTTCTTGTTTAAGTTTCCGATATTGAAGGTTGGACAGTTATGTTTATTACCTTTAAACTGTCAAAATAGTATCACAAACAGTAAATGTTAAATTATTTTTAAGTACTATTCAGCTTATGTTTCAAAGTATTGTACATACTGTTTGTATTCTGTTTTTTTAGTTAGTCTTACATCTCATAACGTGTTTCTTGCTTAGACTCAACAACTTACACGAAGATTTATCAAGCATACTGTGTTAGTCAATATTATACTTTTGAAACTACATAACATCTAAATATGTGTTTCATATATGTTTTCATCGCCAAAACATTATTTGATGTAAAAAGCAATGTATTCATTTTGTAATTTGAGTATTACGTTATAACTCATGATCATCTTCACTTAATTGAATTTTTTGAAATGTTTACGTGTACTAAGCATTTTGATAATTACTCAATCAAGAACCAAGTACATACGGTCTAAATAATTGAAAATTATTACTGTTATGATTTAAAATCTATTTTTTGGTCCTGATATATTGCTATATGTACACTTGGTATTAGAAATGTCACCATAGTTACTTTCATCTTTGTTTTCATAGATAAGTAGTTAGATTATTGTAAAATACTGAACACCTTAATGTTAACTAACTTACTCAAAAGCTTAGAAACCGAACCTATGTTCTACAGTTGGTATGAGCATAGCAAGATAGTTGATGACTTAACGAGATTTAGAACAAAATATCATCAACTGTTATAAAACAAGTTGCGTAATGCTTAGTAGAAGACGTGCCTTTTGTAAGGGACATTTTATTGTCCCAATAAAAGGAGACATTACTACATAAGACGTCTGTGAAGATAATCAGTAAACGACTAACAATAGTTGACAACAGAATAATATTGAGAATCAAGTAACAAATAGAAAGGAAATATAATTTCTAAGTCCACGTCAACGTTGGGCTTGAAATCATAGGGGCAACAGTCATAGTTTATAAATATTCCCAACGTCTCCTTCCATTGAGTAGGTGTGAGCACAAATATAAGCTTAAGAACGAAACCACACCAGAATTTCCCTCTCTCTCTCTCTCTCTCTCTCTATATATATATATATATATATATATATATAGAGAGAGAGAGAGAGAGAGAGAGAGAAAGAGAGCTGGATGATTCAGCTCAGAGAACAAAACTCCATCAAAAACATAGATATTTAGCCTACTAGCTGTTGAAGATGTTATTTCTCCTCCTGTCATTGATTTCTACTCCAGACTTCCTGAGAACGACTGCTTGTAATTGTGTGGAATAAAGTATTATCTATTGTTACTCTGATTCTCTATTCTGGGTTGGATCTGATATGATGTTACTAGTTTCATTATCGTATCAAATTATTGTTGTAGTATACCTGAGAGAGAGAAAAAAATATTTTAAACCTTCCGTTATTTTAATTATGTTCCTCGAAGTAAATCTGTTTGAATCGCGCTTTACATATGGTTCTTTTAATAAATCATCAACTCTTAGTTTCAACTTAAAATATTTGTCAGGCAAATTACGTAAATCTCACTTCAACTTTTCCTTACGTCAAAACCTTTTACTAAGATATTTCATTACGTATCCATACATTTTTAGTGATGTGTACATGCATCAATGCAAGGCATATAAGGGATATAGCTGATTCCAAATTAATTTGTTATGTTTGATTCTTGGATAGCTGCGGTTATGTCGGAGCTCTAAATGTATTAAATTTATGCTGAAAGCTCAGATAAATATTGGTATATTTCCTCTTACGTTTACGGGTTCAACTTATGAAGATGTTATTTACCTTTGGCCAAGTTGAAGCTTTTCTGGAGCGTCAAGAAAAACGTTGCGAACAGTTCCAAATTCGAATTCTAGAAACTCTAACGCATCAAATGAACCTAAATTAAAAGATGACCCATTCAAATCTCATGTCAACTGCTCAAGTCATACGCGGCATATTAAGAATCTAAGCTCTTGATATAACACCTTTCATCAGGCTGTTTGTGCGGTATTAGCACTAAACCCAAACAGATGAATTCTCAGTTACTTTTGGTCGTCTAGGTTAGGTTTCATTCACGTGACCATTTGTTTCATATCAGCGTTCATCACTCATTGTTATTGAGTACATACCCTGGGAGGAATTCAAAATATTTAGCTGGTTGATAACCGTATTGTTATTTTGGCTGGATCTCGGATATATTTGTTTTACTTGAACTCTGAACTTGCTTGTTTATAACTGAAATCCTGGATATTTTCAATCCTCTACTGTTTTCATTTGCTATTTTGAAAATTTTGCCTTGAAAGGCTTGTTCGTAAATTATTATTAGAATAATATTTCTGTGGTGACTACTTGTAATTTACGTAAAAATGTTGGTATCTGTATAAAATCTGTTCTCTGTTGTTTGGGTTGTAGTTTACACGTTTATCAATGGACACTTCCTAAAAATGAACCAGTGCAGAATTTCGACATTCTATTTTCCGATTTTCATATTGATGTCTGAGGTGGTTCAGTGTTAGGATCAGTTATGCACCTCATGATCACAAAGAACATAGTATAGTATCATTTTTGCGGAATTTTCCTGCTGCTAAGATTGTGAAAGTATAAAATGGATATTTTCGAAGACGTACTAGAACTTCTGGAAGATGTTATCAGATTGTAGTTTGACAGATGATTATAAACTGCCTTTAAAATCCTAATAGCTTAAGGCGGACATTTCGTAACACAAGACAAACTGCACATGCAGTTTGAGAATTACTAGATGTGAAGTATACGATGGTTTCAGGCCTTTGCGACTTTAAATCCAATCCTAATTGTGAAAAAATTTCACGAGCACATCACACGCCACAATATTTAAATTCCAAGTTGACCAGTACGGAAAAAGATATTTCCAGAGTTTTATTCAGCTCCAGCTCCAGAGAATATAATTACTTGAAAAACTATCCAAAGCGAAATCACGTAGGTGTGGCATTATTCTGCTTGCAAAACGCGTTCTATCGCTTAATGTATTTTCGATAGGGTTAACTGGTTGATTCATTAAGACCAGAATTTTACTGTAGAATTGTTCAGCTGATGTGCAGCATATAACTAACTTGTTAAAATGAAGCTCAGGGAGGAATGATAGTTAAACGTCATTCCATTATGTTGTGTCAGTCCATGACATCACCAAGCATTTGAGTGACGGCGAAATCTTTCGAATTATTCACTCGATGCCAAATATTAAGTTTTTGTCTTTATGTGCTCCACTCCTAAAAGTCTGGTGAACTTGTACAATTATCGTCTAATTCGTTGTTAGTACTGCTCTAGTAATAAATGTAGTCCTAAAATTGTAGATTTATCATTATGCTACCGCCTAATTCATAATATCTTATGTAGAAGTCGCATCATTTTCTACACGAACGCATCGTATAGTAACAATCACCAATATGTGATGGAGAACATATTTAAGCTGGACAGAGAACAATATATTTAGTATGAATAAAAGAGGTAAGTTACACAGGGATAACCGCGCCTGCGAGGTTGAGCCATGCCATCTGATTGAATTGAATTAATTCTTTCCTCTGCGTTAAATGCTGAATATGTATTTTCCCAGTTATCTCGTGTTCAGCTTTGAGGATTGTGTGGTTGATGTCCAGTGCCACCACAGACTCCTAGGACTGGACAAACTGATAGTAGGAACATCTTCCTGTACTGGTGGTAATGTCAATCGATAATCTGATACACAATAGTAAAGGAATAATGAGCTGTCGACTCTGCTTACGTATCTTTAACGAGACATGCTGTTTTTCACCTGGTAAACCTGTCAACAATGATAATGATGTGGATGAAAGAGTTGAAAGGTGAGAGGTAACCGACGATATCTATATGAAGTTGTTGGAAACGTCTGTCGCGTAATGACAATTTTTCATTGGCATTAATCATTACACTGTGCTAACATTGTGTGCAGTTTCTTGATCACATTTTTACGTCCCAGTTAATTTTCGGCTGGAAAAAGGTTTCGTGATGACTTTTGTTGTAGTTCGGATCCCGGAGTGTGAAAGATCATGGAACTGTAGAAATACTTTTCGCCGGTAAACTTTAGTGATAAAAGGGTGGGTATTACCTGTTGAAACGCCACAGACGATGGAAAAATTCGGAGAAAGAAATAGTTAGACGTTTGCGAATGTAGCTGGACTTTTCTCTGCACGTTTTTAAATCGACGTCGTCTACTTGTAACTTCACCAAGATTTTGAGATTAATGTATTGTTTTTGTATCAGCATATTGTTGACCTTTCTTGATACTGGGTCTGTTAAGACTAATATGATGAGCCAATCAGCAGTAGTCTAGTAGGAAGGTCAATCGACGGCAATCAGAACAGACTTCATTGATAGGTGCATTTCATTGGCTAATAAATGAAATAAGGTCTTAAACAGTAGAGTTGTATTTAAGTAAGTGTGTATCTATGCCTTTTATTCGGTAGCACAATCTGCATTCTTGTTTATTCTTGTGTTTATGCATAAGTAATGCGTTGGGGGCTAAGTGTGTTTCACATTGTATATCAATAACAGATTTTGACAACACCTGTCACAACAACATCACAATTTCTTTTCATGAACTGAATGTCGCTTGCCTTTTGTGAGATATAATCCAACTGTCGTGCTTCATATGATGAATGCCGATAACACGACATGATAAAGGAAAAACATAAGGGTTTGTAGCCTGTTATTATTGCATACTCACTTCCTTGTACTAGGAAAGTAGAATGTATTACCGTCAAAAACATTTCTAATAATTCATGCTATCAAGTTTCATAGCGTATTTGGGCTAATAAAGGAAGTTTAAGAGAAAACACTAAAAGTATAATTACGCGCTATTCAAAAAGGACAGTGGTATACTTTCTTCTGAGTACTTTTTATAGTATCGATCGTTAAATTACGCATCAAGACCACTGTTTTTACTTTAATTGAATTCTTTCGGCTAAAGTAATTCACAAGAGTACAGCTTTGTCTCTAGAGAAGTTTATCATCTGTACTTAACGAGTACAGATACATAAAACTAAAGGCATTGGTACTTAGTCTTCGTCGTTGAATATATCTTTGAGCACTGTTTGTATCCATAGGTGTTAAGATATTTCTGTAGCTGCCGAAGTCTGATTATTTTGTTTCTTTGTTTTATTTATATAGAAACATAAAACAAATCTATGGCGCAATTGAAACATGGTTGTGGCAGACCAGCATGCTGTTTCCCTATCGTTGAGCGGATACAATGTTATAACTGCAATAAGTGGTATCACAGTGTGTGCAACGGACTCACACCGGCTGCATATAAACGGTACCTCATGCCGTTAACACTTTGGTTGTGTAAAGCATGTTGTTCTGCTAATTCTCTGCTGATTCTAGAAGCGATCGAGCTGCTAAACTTAGCTACGAAATTGCCCTCTGATAAACAGGCAGCAGTAGATGATCAAAGCTCTGCTTTTCACGAGATTGAGAGAGTTATTATAAGCGCAGCTTTAGACTTAAATGAGACCATGAAGGTGGACCTCAACAAAGAAACAGATAAGCATATAGATGTAGGTATTGTTGCAAGGAAAAGAA